TTTTGTCAATGTCCATCCTAATACATCTATTAGAATTCTATTAGAATTATGACCCTTGTTATAAATACTGAACAAAATTGTATTTTATGCTCTCCATACTTCTCCTTTACAATCTACCTCATACAGAACACCGGTTCAAAAGTTAGCATACACCTAAATTGCTGATAAATTTTTTGAAACCATTGTCGCTCATTGTTTATTTTTATAACCCTATTYCTATATATCTTCTTACTGTTTCTATAAAGCTTTAATACTTAAGCTGCTAACTTCCATAATTTTCTACTCGTGTACATCATATTTGCTCTTTAATATGAGCAACAAAATAATAAGTCTCCACTCCTTTGGATATTTCCTTGCAACTAACACCTTATTAAAGAAACCTATCAATCTCATTATTSTCAATCCCTTAAAATCATCCACACAYGCATGTTATGTATGTAGCTGATAATAAATTATTATTATTATTATTACTATTTATAGGAAGAAGTTCAAGAAGTTAAAGATGATGAGGAAAGAATACAGTTTTTGCAAAGGGTTCTTTTAGATTATTTGGCTATTAGAAGTCTTTCAGAACCAGCTTTAAGACATGCACGGCATTTCTATTTAGCTCAATGGTACCAAGATAATACCGATGCAGGAAAATCATCAGATTCTTTATCAAAAAGGAAAAAGGAAAAACGCTCTCGGAAAAAATATGGTGTGTATTACATAATTRAACAATAGATTTGTTTATTATTTTAAACTTTTTATTCAAGGTTCTGAAGACGAAGACGATGGTGAAAGTAGTGATTCAAGTAAAGAAAATGAATCTCGAATAGATGAAAATAAAGCTATAGAAAATTCAAGACTATGTGATCAGAGAAAAGAATATTTGTTAACTAAAATCAATCCTTACGATAATCAATCTACACAAGTTATGCAAACATACATTGACTATGATAGTGCTGAATTAGTAGCAAGATATTTAGCTTCTAAGAGACCATTTTCTCAAAGTTTTGATACTTATCTTAAGCATGTAAGAAAACAATTTGTATTCATTCAATGTTTATATAATTTTAATATATTTAATTTATAATTTTAGATTATCAAGGTTTTAATGGAAACCTCGGTGAATATAAGGACTAAAGCTATGAAGTGTTTGACAATGATTGTTGAAGTGGATCCCGGTGTCTTGGGTTTGAAAGAAATGCAATTGGGTGTGAGCCATTCTTTTCTTGACCACTCAACATCAGTTAGAGAAGCTGCGGTTGATTTAGTTGGGAAGTTTGTTTTAAGTCGTCCAGAATTAATTGACAAATATTATGACATGCTATCTACTCGAATATTGGATACGGGTGTCAGTGTACGAAAACGAGTTATAAAAATTATGAAAGATATATGTATTGAATGTCCAGACTACTCAAAAATTCCAGAAATATGTGTAAAAATGATACGACGTGTAAATGATGAAGATGGTATAAAAAAATTAGTTATGGAAGTGTTTCAAAATATGTGGTTTACTCCAGTACGAGAAAAGCCTTCCCTTGATACCAAGATGTTATTGAGGAAGGTATTAAACATTACTGATGTGGTAGCAGCATCAAAAGAATTGGGCTTAGAATGGTTTGAGCAACTATTATTAAGTTTGTTTAAACCTAAAGAAGATAAAGATGATACAGCAAAAGTATCTACTGAACCCCCGAAAGCTTTACTTACTGCTTGTAAGCAAATTGTGGACTGTTTAGTAGAAAATGTTGTGACACTTGATGGAGGTGGCGGAGGTACATCACARCAGCTTGTAGCATGTCTTACTACATTATATCTATTTGCTAAAATACGGCCACAACTATTAGCTGCGCATTCTCTCACTCTTCAACCATATTTGAGTTTAAAATGCCAGGTAAATAATTTTGAATTGTTTGAGTACATTTTTTGTTTGTTAACGGTTTATTAAATTGTTTAGACACAAGGTGATTATCAAATTATCAGTTGTGTTGCAAGGACACTTGAACTTGTTGTTCCATTAATAGAACACCCTAGTGAAATATTTTTATCTCAACTTGAAGAGGACGCAGTTAAACTTATCATGAAGCATGATCAAACTGTGATCTTGAGTTGTATTTCGTGTCTTGGATCGGTGGTCAACAATGTAACAAGAAATTTCAAGCTTATCAGGGATTGTTTTGGAATATACTATAGTATGTTAAATTTATTATTATTTGTACTTTAATTTTAAATCAATAAATTGTTAATGATTATGTATTAAATTTATCTACATATACACCAAGTTCAATTTAACTATGAATGTATAATTCTTTTTATAATATTACATTATAGTTTCTATAAATATGTTGATAATTATAGCATCAACTTTGTTTTGATTGCTATTCCATGTATTATAAGTATGAAAGTAAAAATTGAATTTATTAATTTTAATTGTCATGGCTTATACAAATTATGAAAGTAACTAAACTAAAACAGTTTTTTTTAAATGTGTTTTAAAAATAAATTATTTGTCTAAAGTATGATCTCGCAATGTATAATTTTCCTTAGCACTTCATTAATCAATTAAGTTCTATTTTTATAAGCTTTCATTTAACATGCAATATTGCCTGACCATTACAAAGTAATATCAGATTTAATTTATTAATTGTGGATGTCTAATTTCTATTCAATTTATTTCAGAATATTTAAGTAATTTTCAAAAGTTACATCAAGATAGACAGACCAATCCTCAAGGTTTAATACCATTACGGCCAATATTTCGTCGTTCTATCTACATCATAGGCCTAATGTTAAGATTCTTTGATTTTACTGATAAAGAGGTTTATGGTGATGCATATCCAGTAAGTTTTTTTTCACATTTTAAAAGCAGCACATTAATACATTTTTTTCCTATTTTAATAGGACAATATCAGAGATTTAGTGTATGATATAATGTCATATTTCATGCATACAAATGAAGATGACACTAAATTATTTGCTTTAAAAGCTATTGGATCAATATGTATTAGGCATTATGATTTTATGCTGTGTCAAGATCTTATGAACACATATCTTGATATTTTATCAAATAACAGTGTTCCAAATATAATGAAATCTCAAGTATGCATTTTGGAAATATCTTAATCAAAATATAGTTATTACAATTCTAAAACATGTTAACATTTGATTAGGTTTTATATTTTATAATATTTATTTAATATTACATTTTGAATAAAATTTTTTATGGGTAGATTTTGAATAACATTGAAATATACTTGGAAGAAGAAGAAAAACGAATGATCAAACAGGATTTAGAATGTAAGTGTTAAACATTTTTTAAATTATTTGATAAAACAGAAATAATATGTTGATGATAATGTTGTTTATAATTTCTCTTAGGGTCAAAAATGTCTAAAAAGGAGAATTTAAAAGAAATGGGCGATGTTTCTTCCGGAATGGCTAGTACAGTTATTCAGTTATATCTCAAAGGAATATTAAATTCGTTTTTACACACTAGTGTTCAAGTTCGGCAAGCTGTACTCAAAGTTATACAATTAATTTTAGCCCAAGGACTTGTACATCCTGTTCAGGTATAGACTTCATAAATGTGGTTAAAGAATTACAGGAAATTCATAATATTTATATTATGTTTGTAGATTGTACCTTATCTGATATGTATGAGTACCGATACAGAGAAATCAGTTAGCAGCCGTGCTGATAAGCATTTACAAGAGATTGAAAAGAAATATCCTGGGTTTATACACATGGGTGCTCAAAATGGAATTAAATTGTCATTTCAATTACAAAGCATTGTTCAAACAGATGGTGAAATGGTTCGAGGATATCGCCTAAAAGAAAATGACACTATCCCAACTGCTTTAAATGGATGTCTTTATTCTATATTGAGAACTAAACAACAACGTAGAGCTCTAGTATTGTCAATTTTAAAACAATTTGAAGATCAAGGCGTAAGTTAACAGTTTTTTGATAAATTTAATAGTGTACATTTCATTATTTGTGTATATTATTATTTGTGTATAGAAAACAAATTTAGCTCAAATGCTATACCTGGCCGACAACTTAGCATATTTTCCATTTCAATCACAAGACGAGCCTTTATTTATAATTCATCACATTAATACAATGATATCAGTAAATGGAACTAATTTGCTTCAAAATTTTAGAGAGGTCAGTATTATCTTTTTGAAATAAAGTTTTATTTCATTATCTAGGTTTAAAATATTGTAAGCTAAAGCTGGATTCACAGCTACATGTGTGTCATATAATGTAAGGGCGTGGTAATTATATGGTTACTGTAATATTGGTTTAATGGTTGATCTGTTATCAGATTTTAGTATACTTGGTGCAACTTGGTTATTCCACCATCCATTAAAGTAATGGCTAATCACAATGTAATAAGATCAACATAACACAATGTAGCTGTGAATGTGAATATGTTTAAAATAATTATGGCTTAATTAAATATTTTAGTATACTTTCCATACATTTGTAACTCGTGAAATAATTTTGTTAAGTTCATAATTTTGTTAATATTTACTGCTAGGGTCTACTTCCAAATCCTAATGCACCAGTACAATCTAATAAAGTAGAAGGTGGCGTTGAAGACGAAGAAGATGAAGATGAAGGAACACTTGTCGATAGAGTACCTGATGATATAACATCCCTTCAAGAAGTTCTTATAAAATCTCAAGGCTGCCTTCTACTTTTAGTTCTTAAACTATATTTGAAAACTGTTTATGGGATAACAGATTTGTAAGTCTTATTTGAATTGTATATTAMAAATAGTTAGATTATTTTTAACTAAGAACATTTATTTTAGAAAAATCACTCAATATTCACCATCAGAATCTAGTAAAATGTATGATAAGAATTTAAGCAGAAAGTCAAATACAAAATTCAATCCTAAAGCCACAATTCAAAAGCTTAAATATGGATTAGAAATAAATACTGAAGACTTA